GTAACTTTTTCAAATTACGGTGTTTCTCTGTACTACTTCATTGTTACATTCTTTACGACAGTTAATTGTAATTATATATACGCGCGGATTTTCTCGACTTTAATCAATCTTCGAAATATGTTATTAAAACATTATACATTATTTGCAAGATAATCTACATTAACTAATATTATCTTGTTACATTTATTTCAGCCATACGTCGTCGTATTCGCGGAATATTAATGTCAGGCAAACAATTTTCGCTGGATTCTCGTATGGATCTCGTTCAGGTATGTTTGAATCAATCAATAATTTTTATTTTTACATATTTTGGTGTCTTTTGGTTTACGAAATAAATATAATATTATCTAAATGATATTGTTTCTCAGGGATATGTTTGCAGCCGTCCACTCTCGAATCCTCCTTTCGAGTTACCATTAATGAAAGAGGATGAAGATGCCGGATTAAGCGAATCAATATTTGACGTTGATGCAATGGATGAATCTGAAAATGGTGAGTTCTCATTATTTTATAAATAACAGAAGAAGCGTATACTATGAAAGTTATGGTCTTTAGATAAATCGATTGTTTATAAAAATTGGGAGGATTCTGATAATTCCGAAACAACTGAGAGGGAATCATCCATCTCAAAGAGTGATTCGAGTTATACAGTAACGAATGGTTCGTTCATCAATGTTGGTACTAAAGATAACGGCGATAACACAGTGACGATTGCTTCGGCCGATGTAGGCTTTCCTAGAAGTGAAACTATAGCTGCTTTTGGACATCGTCCTTATACAGGCGATCTAGTACCTGTCCGAGTTTTGAAAGAGAAGTCAATGAAAGAAAATAAAGAAGACGATGGCAAAGGAGAACTCTGCAGAAAATGTGGTCACTACTCTAAACATCAGTAATCAGGCCAAAAGTATTCTTCATACGTTAAACAGCATATGAGCACTCGAAGCTAGTCTTATATTTTCGCAAATCTGTTAATTTAAAATTATTTTCACGATATATCGTTAGCAAGTTAAGTTAGATGTTAAGTGGAATAGCAAATAAATTACATCATCTTGGTAAATAAATTTTTAAATTCGAGGGCATAGCAAATTTTAAAACAATACAAAATTATTATGGAAAATTAATTCTATATTTTTTTATAAGTGTAAGTGCATATATATCTATATAATTTGTTAAGATTATCAATTGATGTATTTATATTTTTTTTAAAAAACATAATTTATTTTTTTTTATTGTAATAATTATATTTACACAAATTAGATTATTGATTGTATATTAATATCCTATAAAAATAAAAGATATTAAAAGATTAGCAAATAATTAATAGTCATCTTCTTTTTAATATTTATGTAGTTTATGTTGTTAGTTAGAACAGTTGTAGTTATTGTTAAAGTTATAAAGTGCAATGTGTACGTAATAAACGTATAAAATTAAATAAATGCACAACATAATGAAACGCTTAATGACCTATTAATTATTATTTACGCATAAATGTATTGTGTATACTTTCATTCCTTTGTCGTCCTAAAAATCTTAAAAATATATTAAAATGTATATACGTAAATATTATATATATGTTACGTCCTGTAGATTTCACAATTATTTTTCTCATGAGGATATGTATCATCGTTCCTTTAGAAATAATTCGAAAAGTCGAATGGAATGTGAATTTTATTTGTAAATATTTGCGATTCTGTTTAAAAATATACAAAATACAGCTACGGCAAGGATTGCGACACCAAGTGACAAACACTAAAACGGCAAACAGTAAAAATATAGTCAGTGGTCATCAAATACACACTCAATCGGTCCTTTGTCCTCAAAAAGTATTCAATCTCTTAAAATTATCCATATCTCCTAAGATGAGTTCAGGCAGACACTATTAGCCAGTATTAGCACTATTTGTGTCATTCTATCCTTGTTTTACATCTAATGAACGATGAAGATAGAATAACACAAATAGCACTAATAGCGTCTTCCCGAAAGCACTCCTAGTCCGTTTTTATTCAAAGGAATGGGTTATTAAGAAATGAAAAATGATCAAGCTCCAACTGGATTGTCTATCACACATCGATGCATATAACTTTTATACATGTATTAATTTTAATATGATTAGTTCTAACTTCAGTTCTTTGCTATGTGTATGCAGGGAATATAAGTAACGCGTTACTTGTAACACTGTTAACAAACGAACAAACGCCAAAGGCCTTGATTCTGATAAATCAAAGTCACGACTCTGAACAACGTTTTAAAAGTTTCTATCATTTCTTGGACACTTTAGATAATGTCGGCGATTCTGTAACTTTCAAGCTTTTTATAACTCAAAAAAGTACTTAATGAAAAAATATTTTGTTGTAGTATTTTAAAGAGCTCTCGAGATAAGCTACAAGAATATGCAGTAAATATTTAGATTCGAGGAATCAGCTCCGATGACTGAATACATATTTAATGAGATAAGTTATCTTAAAGTAACCTAAGATAACCTATGCTTATGTGAAATAAGATATGTTTCTGAAACATAAATAGGCATTCCAAAATAAGATTGTCTTTGACAAGTTACGCATTAGATTTTGTTCAAATCTTTGTTCATTCTCCAACCATGAATCTAGAGACTGTCTTAAGATCGTATTTAAGACAGTCTTAAACATAAGAATCAACTATGGCCATGTTCTGATATACACTGCCAGCACTGAAAATCTATAGTGTACGTAACATGCATTATAGATTTTCAGTACTTGCAATGCATAACGGAACACAGTTTTATGAATACTGGCCCTTGATTTTGTCATATGTTGTCAAGGTCATGATCCTGAGTGACCTCCAACAGGTTTTAGTCGTCGCTTGTTATTTGTTAAAAAGTTATTAGCAATCAAAATTTTTAATTATTTTTCCGTTTTTCATGGAAAGTCGGATGACTCTAGGCAGGGGGAGCTATGGGGCCTCGCTTCGCGCGGAAAGTCGATCGCCCTTAGTCCGGTCCATTGCATACCTCCTCCCCTGTATAGAGTCATCCAACTTTTCATACAAAGCGGGGCAATGTGCGTGTACGCGTAAGCACAAGCGTGCACGAGGTTGTATGCATATACGTGATATACAGATATACTGGAAAAATTCCCGAAAGATACTGTATGATCAAATTTAAATCTCATAGGACCGACGCGTGAACTTACTAATAATATGAATTAAAGGCCTAATGCCGGTTGAAGCTGGATCTTAATTGCTTTTTAAATAATTCACAAATGTGAATTATACTATATATGTACTTGCATATATACCATATTTGTAGTCATATTCATTAAGCGCCAAAATTTTTCCGGACTATATATGCAAGTACATAGGGGAAAGTGGGGAACTGTGCGTAGTGGTTGTGCGCATCCTGATTTGGTACTTTTCCAATGGATGAAAACATCACTGTGGTGAAACTTTTGCGCAGAAGATCGTCCTTTTAAGATATAACTACAAAAGATTACGATGTAAATACGTTGCTACCCAGAGAAATACAAAAAAGTGAAATCACATCTTTTCTTGTTATTTTAGCATCCAGAAAATAAGGTGGTAAGTCCGTATTTTTAATTTATTTGTTTAAAGTTGCATACGTTATTAAAGTATGTTATTATGTGCGTCTTTTGAGCTGTTATTTATTAAGTTTGATTAAGAAATGTTGAAGTAATCATATTTCATACCGAGTCAGGTCACGGCGGGTAACTGTGCGCAAGCGTTTTGAAATGCGCACAAGTACCCATCTTTCATATACTATATGACTAGCACTAATTTTTTCGTTTTTTCTTTGCATTATTATTTTATTTTGCCATTTTATTTTGCCAAAGTCTATGTGCATTATTATTATATAAGTTTTGTATTTTTGCTTAATATATAAATATATATTTAAAAATATATTTAATATATATTGTAATATAATAAATATATTTTCTGATTTCTTTGTCAACATTCCATAATTCATTCATTTCCTACGACTTTTGCTTTGCTCACAATTATCCAATCCATGCACACAATTACCCGATGCGCGAGAAACTTTTTCACTTTTCCGTTTTTTCTTTTTTGCTAAATACAGCCTTATTGAACGAAAATCTGTTCAATATGAGGATATGTAATGGTAGAAGAAGTTTATGGTTTCTATTTCCATACTTATATTGCTTTGAACTTAGAAAATCATTCCAAGACAATAAATTTCCCTTAGGTGCGCACAATTTACCCACTTTCCTCTACATAGTATATATATATATAAAATTCACATTTGAATTATTTAAAAAGCAATTAAGATCTAGCTTCGACCGGCATTAGACCTTTAATTCATATTAATACTGTATGACTATATTAATACTGTAATACTGTATGTTATAAGTACGTACTATAGGATGTTTTTAGTGTATACTGTTTAAACTACTGTAGAGCGTAGACAAGAATTTACTTATTACATACAAAGTACGTATATCATAGTACGTATATGGAATATTCCAAGAATACTAGTAACATATCGTTTCGATGTTCTTTGAACATTTTCAGAATATACTTGTTCCGTTAGGGTTAAATACATCTTTTCTTTGATACTTATCCGTTTATCTTTCTAGTATACTTAGTTGAAGAGAATTTTCAATTATCACTAATTATTTTAGCTTAGCAGCTTTACAGATAAAGAACACATTGGTGCGCAAGCGCTGTCTCACTGGACAGATTTTGATGGGGAATTACTTATTACTGTTACTATCTTTGGCTATTTTAATATCAATTGTACAATTGGTTGAATATTTGCGGTTGCTCCTGTTTTAAATAAAGCTTCACGTTGAATGCTATCAACGAAAACTATTGTACTACTGTACAAGCCCTTGTCGAAGAGCAGCAGCAGCAGCAGCAGCAGCAGCTTCGTCGGTACAGTTGCCGCAACGTGAGCACGTGGTACGGATTGGCCGACAGCGTCATATTGATCGACCTGAATCTATGCTCCGGTCGGCGCGTTGACTAGCGCGCTCGCCAGTACCCTGAAAGCACTTGTCCGCTGCATTTACAGCGTAATCGCGACCACATATTCGCATCGTGGCTTTCGCGAACTGCATCGTGCTGCATACCCTTGTAACCTTGTTATGTGCGTTTCGCCGTCGCTATACATCGGTGATGTAGACTCGTCGATGGACACGCTAAGGTGTCTGAGCTAGAAAGAGGTATAAGCATAGAGCAATGACGGATTTCGTTAGAAAATCGAGAATCGAATCTGAAATCACGACACGAGAGAAATGACAATAATTCGTTTAAAAAATTAGATTTTGTTTTCCAGACATCATTTTAAAACAACGCCAGTGTTGTCACAAGAAAATCTACACTTCCGGATTCCGTGGTTCAATAACAGTATGTGGGATTCGTGAATGATTAGGTGTATGAATAGGTATGAATGTGTTAAATCTGCTTCGATTTATTTCACAGATTCAAGTGATGTATTTCAAATTTTGTGTAGTTTTACTTCATGTTTTAATTGTAGCTGGCTAAATATTGTTCGATTAAGTTATTATTAACGTAAAATAATATCTAGATATTTTGCACACAAATATATAATATATAAAATACAAAGAATTTAATTTGTTGAATTGAATTTGAAAAATTTCGAAAGAGTTGATTTGAAAAAGATATAATTAATGTCCTTGATATTGAATAAGTACTCAACACAAAGAAGATGTTGAGATATATATATATATTGATATATGTAATTAATAACTTAATATATGTTTATTAATTTTTCAATAGAAAAAGTAGAGTATTTTGGTCTTTTAGAAGCATTAAAATAAATAAAAATGCAAAAAATATTTTTATACCTTTTTTATTAGTCCAACAATTACGATTACATAATTGTTTCTATATATATGTGTGCGTGTAATTTTTATTACTCTTGTCTTAATTCACATACCTTTACAATGTAATTACACATTTATTTCAAAGATGTATTCTTATATCTTATATCTTGTAATATACTGTTTAATTTTCATAATCAATATATTAAGTAATTAATATCATAATTTAAGTATAGAAATTTTTTAGGATATAAATATTTAACGGTACAATTAAATGTTACGTGATTAATTAATAATTATTATTACTATAATATCATAATATTAAGTTCTGTCAAACGATTTAGTGCGCAATTATGTGTGCCTTCTAACAAGCGACACAGTGCGACACAGCGATCATGTCATCTTTGTTTAACATTGACAAGGATGTAATTGCTCGTTGGAAGGCACACTACATTACAGAGCTGCTAAGTGCCTTAAATTAAGCATTCTCTTTTTGTGACAGTTCTCAAATAGGCATATGTTACTATATAAATTTAGAATGAGTAAGTATGCATTTATTATGATCAAATATCAACAACAATTAATATATCAACATTTAAAAAAGCTGACATTTGTTTAACTAACTTTTATTTAACATTAATTCAATGTTATCAACAAAATGAGCAAAATATTATTCAGTAACTAACGATTGAAATAAATATCAGAAAATTCCAACACAAAAAAATATATAATCAAAATGAAATATTATCACATTATAAAAAAGTTTATTTATAGAATTTATAAAACAAATTATCTGAATGTAACTACAATTTGTTAGTATTATTACATTGTTATATTTAAAACAGCTGAGTATAAAAGATTAATCTGACTTGAGCACTTACTTTAATCGTATAATTTTAATTGCATAATTTTACAGCTACTTTCGCGTTTAGGGTAACTTAAAATGGAATTGATGAAAAATATTTGTTATAAATGATATTACAGTGTCAAGTTTGATCTATGCATCTTCAAAAATCTGTCCTAAATTTAATTTGAAAACTGATTCGTAATTTCAGGGAATATTCAGCTTGAAATATACAGTTGGATCAGTTCGCGCTAATCGAGCGTTACGCTATTCGATATTTAAGAAAGTTTCGTCATGACGCGAAGCTAAACAAAGTGTAAGGACATTCTGTCGCTGTCAGCATGTGGACGAATCATTTGATAGTGGGTAAGTGTGCGTGCGTTCTTGATTGGCTTCCCATTTAATTACAAAAGGTTCTTCTATATTTTAAGAAGATATATAAATATTTTTGAACTGAAATAGACTTCTTTCTTACACATCAATATCAATCATACTGAACGTCTAGTTTTATTCATTAAAATTGAAATAACTATTATAATCCTCTTGCTTGAAATTCGGACAGAAAAATTCATATATTTCAAAAATTCATATATATTCAGAGTACAAAATATCTGTTTTTAATGTTAAAGTAATTTCGAGCACAAATGTTATAATGCAAATATATAATCGTGGTTCATACGTCAAAATATTCATTAGCATGAAAATCTGATCGTCCCAATTGGTTACGATCTTGCAATTACTGAGTTTTGTTACGATCTAGAAATCATAGGTGTTATATATTAGATCAATCAACACGCGTACGGCCGCTGCTTCCATGCTGCTAGGTACGTGGACACGTACGTACGTAAGATTCATGAAGAAAAATCACATTTGAGAAATACAGAGGATTGTGGGAATAAGGATATACAGGCTGATATTATATGTACATTCATCATTTCATATATAGTAAGAACTGTTAACAAACTAACAAGTCAATAATTTTGATATAAAATTTTATAAATTATATTTAAAATTTAAATTCTCTGTATTTCAAATCAAATGCGAAGATATTTTCAAAAAAGTGCGTCAGTCATCTCCAAATTATTTTGTTTCACTGATATAGACATTATTGCTGAATGTTTCATTTACGAAGAAACTTGCAAAATGTAATAGTTTCACATTTATGTATATTTACAAAAGCATTTACTTTTATTATCTTTAGTTTACCTATATTTTTATACTTGCTGCACACCACTCGTGCTTTTTCCATTTTCTTTCTATCCTGTTTCTGTATTTTTGTATACTACTATGCATATCTTCTACACATACCTTTTACTCGATATTCCATTACCTTAGAGAATCCTGTGAGATAAACTTTTTTTTAATAATAACAGTAAATTCTGTACATATCTATACAATAATCATCAAAATACTGTGCAAGCATACACTCAGAGAAAGGCATAGTGATAGCAATTGCAAAGGTGGCAACTATATAAGTTTAATAAGTAGAATTAGTATACCCCCCCTCCTTACATAGTTGAAAAAACTAATGTATATAATTAAATAAACTATTTAATAGTCACAATAATTATAAAAGATGTGGTTTATTCAACTACGTGCATTAATTCTACATATAAAACTTGTATATATTTATATAGTTGCTACATATGTATATAGGTAGCAACCACTATGGTTTTTTCTCTGAGTGTAAGAATATCAATTTACTTTACTTACCTATTATAGTCTTATATAGTATAACTCGCTGTAAAACATTAATTATAGCAATATTTATCTTATTCTGTATCGCAAACTATAAATATAATGAATAAAATGCAATTATTATCGATATTGAAACAACTTTTATACGTAAAAATTGTTAACCCTTTGGCCTTTCACACTGTGTATTAAAATATTTATGATATGTGAAAAATCACCTCTTAAAATGTTTCTGCGTATTTACATCTTGTTCTTTAACATACAATATATCTCAAGACTTTTTTAAAACTGTGTATGACCAAGTTTGATTTCTAAATTACATCCCTACAGATATTATCATTTACTATTGTATACTTTTCTATACTGTGTGCTTTCTAAATACTTAGAGATGTTTACACTGCATGAATGTCTATTTTACATCCTATACTTCTATATTCTATTCTTTGTTACCAATTCTTACATGTATACCTCACAATCTACAAAAGTGCAAAAAGATTAGAATTATTCAGCAAACAGAAAAATATGGACTGACTGCCGCACGATTTTTTTTTATTAATCGGATAGCATTATTAGCTAGCACAATTATCAGCAGTCCCCAAACATCATTAATATCGATATGCTAGAGCCGCGCTAAGGAGATAGTAGCGATTGTAATGATAGTTGCAGTCACCGTAGCTGTTATATAATAGCGCTAGTCCTGTTGCTTGCGTTACCACAGATCACACCAAGTTACTTAAGCTAGCTACCTGCGCGAAATGCCAACACACATTGCCTAAAACAGTAACGAATCTTTCGTTTTCAGCGGCAATTGTACTCGCGGTTGCCACCGTCTGTCATGCGGAGTGCCAGAGTGAGTGATTAAGCCAGCTTACTCTCCTCGGTATGCTCGTACCATGTTATCGTTTGCTAAGGACTCTATAAAGTTCGATGAAGCTCAATGCGTTCGCGGCAAAATGATTCGATTTTGTCAGAATGTCCACCTCAGGGTGGAAAAGTGTTCTCCAACGAGAGTTATCCGATTGAGATTGCTCTTGCTTCGAACTGGACGCAAATTGTATCAAAAAACGTTTTGCTTGATGAAACATACAGTTATTTCAATCAAATGTAGAATTTTTGATAAATTATGACAGATCTTTGTAAATTGTAATAAATACCGCTCAGCAATTAATACAAATTAATTATTTTATTCTCATCTAATTTCATCGAACATAACCACATTACCAAAACGTACTATCTATCGTGTTGTGAAAGCGAACGGTGCTTAATATTTCATTTTTAGAACTCACTTTTAGAACGCGCTCATCGATACATGAAACTTTACATAAAAAATGTGCACTCGGGAAATTGTGTAATCCTTATATTTAAATATACATATATATGTATGTGTATATATGTATAATAAAGCGCTAAATATAGCTTATTGATTAATAGCTTATTATTTACAAATGTTGATAATATTTACTGAATATACACATTTGATTAAAAGTTATTATTCATTGTTATTAATGATTATTAATTACTTTTGTAACAAAATGTCACAGAGTCATGTTTAACACTAAATGAAAGTAGGAATCTGTAAATAAATTTAACATTGTTAAAAATAAGTGTCTATCGTAGAAGGATTATGATATTTTTTTAACTTTGTACATTTTTTCCCAAGTGCGATAAGGAGAAAATATGGTCTTTGAAAGCGCATCTATTTCACAGCTCGTTCCATTTACTGCTACGAATGTGATTCATGGACGGATCTCAGATGCAAGGATCCTTTCAACTATACTGCACTACCCAGAGACCAACCACCGCTGATGACATGTAATGGATGCTGCGTGAAAATGGTTCGCAACGCAAAATCACGTAAGTATTTATCTTCATTACAAGAAATCTGCCTTTTTTAGAGCAAATTAAAATGTCTATTAGACTTTTCATAATTTAGACTGTATATCATAGTTGATTAAATTTAAAGAAACTAATTTAATGACGTTCAACATCTCACAAGCGAAATCTGGCAAGTATAAAATAAAAAAGACTGAAATTTGCATGTATAAAGTAGATAGAACTCAAACATAGATCTAATGGTGAATCAATTTCTTGTTGGCTGATAAAAGGTTTTAAGGAAACATTCTTTTGAAAAATATTTTTTCGTTTCTAAGCGAATATCTCCAAAACAAAGGGAAATACAAAAAATATTTTGAATAAAAGTTTTATAATTTCGAAAGCACTCGAAAATATAAAATTTTCAAAATAGCCCTATCTTTTCTTTTAATTTCTTTTAATACCATTTACCTTTTCTTTTAATTTAAAAACTTTTTCCAACTCAATTAAAGTTTATTTCACGTGAAAGCGTATACTTGACGGTAGTCCGTTCGGATATGTGCTTATTTGGTGATGTTTAGAAATTAATACCTGCTAAAGTATTGCAAAAATTGCAAAATGGTAAACTTTTCGACTCAGTTCAGTCCGCTCTACTTGCTCTAGAAGTGATCTTGCAAGGGATATCCATATAACTTGATCAAAATGTTTTTTTTGTATTCCTTATTATTTTGGTGTGCGCGCGATCATAGAAAAACACTTAGAAACATTCACTCACTTAGAAATATAAAAACTGATTTTTCTTAAAAAAGAAATGATATCACTTGTAAATCTCGTTTATCAGCCGTAATAAAATCCATCTACTTTATCTTTATGAAAATTAAGATTTTCTTTAATTTTACACTTGAACGTTTTTTTTAGTTAATTATGGTATTATGGTATAAAACAGTTATATATATTAAAGAATCATTATAACAGCATGTATCTTAATCGACCATGTTAGATATATACCTATACAGGGTGTCCCAATAACTATTACCACCTGAAATATTTTCGAATATATGTCTAGAGAAAAATTTGTACAACCAAAATTGTACGATATGAAGGAAGCTATTATATGGCGATAATAATTTTTTTGGAGGCGCTTAGGAGATTTGAAGGTCAACTTCATTTTTTTAAATGGAATTATATAAATTTTTTTACATAAATGATTTCCCTAATTATTCTTCATAAAAAGTATTAAGATAATAGCATCGAAAAATCAATAGTTTACGAAATATTTTATACTTTATTCTGGCATATATTGACATAAAATGTTAAATAACTCGTAAATTAATAAATTTTTGATGCTTTAAAAAGATATGACTGCAAAATGGATAATTTTTTAAATAAGCAACTATGTATTTTCTTTACTCCAATTAATTCATCATTATTCTGTTCATAAAAGTATTAAAGTACAATTATCAAAAAATTATTAGTTTATGAGTTATTTAATATTTTATGTCAATATGTGCCAGAATAAAGTATAAAATATCTCGTAAACTATTGATTTTTCGGTACCATGGTCTTAATACTTTTTTATACAGAATAATTAGAGGAATCATATTGTGTAAAAAAAATTCATATAATTCCATTTAAAAAAAGGAAGTTGATCTTAAAATCTCCGAAGCGCCTCCATCTGGACAAAAATTATTATCATCATATGATGAGCCCACTTTACATCGTGTAATTTTGGTTATATAAATTTTTCTCTACATCTTATAGATTAAAAGATATTTTAGGTGGTAATATAGTTATTGGGACACCCTGTATATAATAGTAAATATAAAGTAATTAATATAATAAATATAAATTAGGTAAATTTTTACAATCATCAGAAACTTACTTATTGCTCATTATTCCCTTTGGCTTACAGCGTACGAAAGCGTAAGAAGAACCTGCACCGCGCAGCTACAAATAAACTTATTCATGGTGGACCACGTGTGCATGATGGAAAGTACCGGCACTGGTCACATGTGCTTCTGTGAGGAGGATATGTGCAATCGTGTACCCCCAACCTCGAGCTCGAATTCCGTACTCCTACTGATCCTGTCGACTATCCTTATTCTGCGTTCGACAATCTTAAGAGCCTCCGCTTGCTTTGTAGAACGTTGCAATAATCATATCGTATAACATCAATTAATTCGATCCACCCACCGCAGTGGTGTCCAATCATATCCTTTGTAGAAATTTTAGCGAGTCGACAAATCGACAACACGACCAGTCGTCGGAACGAACGATTAAAGCCAACTTCGATCCCGAAGGTTAGATCCTTCGAGATATTGAAGAAAGTAGTCAAAAGCATATAGAGCGATGGACGATTGATGTATATCATTATTATTAACTTCGTGCCTCTTTTAAGCGCATGTTATCCATCCATTGGATCGCATAGAAATTGAATATATTTCTGTAATATAAAAATTTTATCAAAGTTTTGCATATCTTATAATAGATACCGTATGCTTAATAGAAGATGATAATGTTATAAGATGAGTTCGGTATATGTTAAGCTAAAGAAATATATATATATATAAATAGACGTTTGCAAGTAAGATACAGTATATTCGTGTATTCTCGTAAAAAATTATTCATTATAATGTTGCTCAAATTAATTTTATTAATTAATTTACGTTTCCCTCGAAGGACAAATCCTTTGAGGTAAACATAATATGATGGTGAATTCGGTCATTTGCAGTACACTGAATTGATGCACATTCAAGTTGCTTTATATTAAGTATTTAAATGCAGTAACACAGTAATAAAATAATACATGTATATTCTGTTAAATAATGTGTGACAATATCACATTATTAAATATTTTTCATTTAAAATATTTAAATCCTTTTACATTTATTTTTGTTAATTTTATGGATAGCAGATTGTAGGCACCGTAATTTCACACAATTATGGTTCTATGCCATAATTATGGTCCAAACTGATATTTGAAATATGAACATCTGACAAACACTGTTAACGTACTAAATGACAGAGCATAGATTGAATGATATTGTTATGGTATTGAAACATGGTCTGTCTGCTGTTGTGTGATTTTGGACTATATAGTTGTGTGAAATTATAATCTAGTGTAATGCAGCTGATTAAATTCTCAATAAGAGAGTTAGACTGGGCATCTACTTTTAAATGAAAGATGAAAGAAAGCTAAAGAAAGTTATTAAATAGCATTAATAATAAATATTATGATAAACTTATCTTGGAATAGAATTAGATAATTATTAATTACTGTAACTCTAATAGAAAATTTCGTCTTGTTTTCCATAGCAAGATTTGCCCAATTTGTGAACATCGTTCGTTCCGATCATTGGCCTTAGACAGCATCGATAGTACTTAGGCGTTTCTCGTGTAGAAATCATCCCTACTATCTAATCGACATCTCTAACATTTACGGGGCGAGTCCGGGTTCTTTATTAGTTGCTCTTCGAGCAAGCACGCTAGCATCATTATTAGTAATATAAACCCTGAGGAAGGAATTTTATTGAAAAACAAGCTAAATCTGAAATAGAGTTAAATTACGTGATCTAATTAATCTAAGTTTGAATGATAAAAGCCGTTTTGTAGCAAAATTGACTTAATGCAATAATTCCATTAGAAAATTTAATTGTTTCTGTAATATCATTTGACATACATTGCATACAGATATATTGCAAATTATTATTTAAATTATATAATTCTACAATATTTCTTATTTCTAGCATTTTTGATGCTTTAAATATTTGGCAATTATATAGTTGATTGTAAATATTTATTGTTTATTCTTAAAAATTCCTAAATCTTAAAAAAAGATACAATACATAGTTTTAAATTGACAAGTAGAATATAACTTCAGTAGAACGTAAACTTCTTCCTTAGCGTTACCGGGCTGCATGTACTCGACTGTCGTTCAGGAACATCGATGATGATTTAGCCCTTTATCTCGATATTACGATAAAGAGAAGAAACAAAATGTGGATACTCTAGCTTTTGAATTCTTCTCACAATAATGCACCTCACTGTGATGTTCGTTTTATTCTAATGCGACAATGTTCGACGCGACTGGTCGAGTTTCGTTTGATGCAAAAACTTATAAAGAAGCACAACAAAATTAGACGAGGTATGAACGCCGATTGTACATCACGTATTACATACGTATAAAAAATGTTAACATACATAAAGGTTTCAGAAATTTTGATTTTTTTATATGGAGTGAGTACTAAAAAAATAGTGAAAAACAAAAATTTGATACAATTTTATAATAAGAATATTTTCATATGTATATCTAAAAATATTAGTAATATGCTAAATGGATAAAATTATTACCTTGTGTATTAATTTCTTCAGAATTATACAGCTAATAATCGATATATTATTCTACACGATAGATTTTAAAATTCAAAGGTTTATATAATAATACTGATAACGTATCATGTACTGCACTCATAAAATAATGACTATATGACAATATTGGTGACACTGTAATGACAAATGGCGTTCATTCATCGTGCAATTCAATCGATTTAGTAGAATGCTTCCTTGATTGTATCTAATTATGATTTTCTTTTTCTCTTCTTTACATCATCATTTTTCCTGTCTCTTTTTTTCTTTCTCCATCATTCTCTCTCTCTCTCTCTCTTCCTCTTTCCCCCCTCTCTCTCTCTTTCAAATAGCTTGATTTTTTAATTTTTGCATTCTTCTTAAATTCTTCTTACTCTATAACTTCCTTGTAGATACATTTTGGTAGTTTTAGGAAGAGTATTCTCACATACTTAAAATAAGAGAGATGGGAGATAAATGAATTTACAATAGAAGGCGAGCTTGTACGATAGAAAGGTATTCTATCTTATTGTTAGAAGGCATGGTTGCAGCATGCACAGACAAAGCTGACAGACGCAGAGATAACCAGCCGACGAGCAGCGAAGATGATTTTCTCAAGTTCCTTGGCCGCATATATGCGCAAGTTTTTTAAAACGTATATTTAAAAAAAACATTTTGTCTGAAAAATCTTAGAAGATTGGATAACAAAGTAATTAAAATCCATTTCATGCTATATAAAAATTTTTTCTGTAAAAATTATAAAATAAAAATATAAAGAATTTCGAGTTTTTTGATAATAAATATTTAAAAATTCAAAGATTGAAATGAATTTAAGAAATACAAAATTTAAAGTAAGATTCAGCTTTAGAAAAATGATTCAAAAGTTAGAAAGAAATTTGTTAAAAAATGTATTTACAAAATTTGGAAACTTAAAGATTCTAACTATAAATTTACGTAAAAGTTCAATAACCCAAAAATTTGCTAAAAATCTTCTGAAATTAGGCACACACATAAGAGTCTAGATCATTATATTAATAAAGTTTCAGAACCTAAGAAAAGATAGAGTCGCACGTAAATAAAAATGAAGTTGAGTGCATGGATTGTAGCGTTGTAAAGCCGTACGATTTATAGAAAGTCAACACAAAACATATATTTTTATACTTAAACTTATATTTTTATACTTAAAGACTCTTTTGTTTGCATAAAGATTAATTTTATGTATATTTCGCTGCGTGGATAGAAAAGCGAAATAAGTCAAAATTTAACCTTTTTATCAACGCAGTGAAATGATGCGCAAAAAAATTATTTAACTATATTTATTATATACTTTCAAGAATGACAAGCAACGCCAACATATTACCGTCATTTTTTTTATAATAACGATTTGGTAATGAGTTATAATAACGTTAGGTACAATTTTTCATAACGATATAACGATAACCAGCGTTGAAACAGTCACTTTTAAAAGTTCCCATTACGCGTTTCTCATTAAAAAATGAAAATATCTCATTACTTGAAGAAAGTAATACATTACTTTACTTATTACGTAACGTTACGTAACAAATACTAACGTTAAATAACGAATTATTTTCTTCAAGTAACGAGTTATTTTCTACCATGAAAAATTGTAACTTCATTACCAATTAGGAAGTTTTTGCAATAACGTGAATCCAGATACGGTGAACACTAAAGTCACATTATCCTTTTCTTAATTAGTTGTTAAGAAGAAGATAACCTGATCTTAGCGTTCACCGTATTTGGATTCACGTTATTGCAAAAACTCCCTATTATTATAAAAAAGTGACGATAATGACGTTATAAGAAACATGTTAATCTTTTGCCATCTTTGTATATTTTATATACTTCTTAAAAAGAATAAAAAAGAATAGTCTTATTTATGTAATTATTTTATTATATTTATAATAAATTATCACTTATATAATTATTTTTTTTCTAATAAGAAGATATTTCTGTAGTAATATTCTTTACTCATTTTATCTAAAAACATTTTCTTTATATGTAACTTCTGTATCTTTATACAATTTATATAATAGTTTCATAAAAAAATACTTTAACATAATTATTTTGAAATATTTTATAAGTAACTTAAACAATATGTTTTGTGTAGTTAATGGTTAAAATCAAATTAATTAATATAGGCAGTAGCTTTGACGTTCGACTTTCAAATAAATATACAGCAACACTTTGCATGATACTGCATGATCCATTATTATCTTGCGTGTAAACGAGTACTCCACTTCTACAGTCACTGATCGAAAGCGAACAGCGCTAGAATTTTTTAAAATTTTATTAAACACACATTATTAATTTAAACAGACAATCAATGAAATATCAAAAATTCAGAAATTCAGAGCTGTTTCGCGGCTCAAATAAAAAAATTAAATCCGCTGTTCCTTTTCTCCTGTAGCTCGTCCAAGTGCAACAACAGCTACAGAATTAACAAATATACGAATATAACAACTGTGAAGATTATAATAACCCACGATACCTTCCACCCTAACAAATGCAACGCAAAGCAAACGAAAAACAAAGCACAACGTGAGCCTTCAGCTTCATTCGTACCGCGACTAATGAATTTACAGCTTTTGATAAAAATTGGTCTCATCTGCTAAATTGAGTTTAACCTCATTGGATTTTTTAGAAAATTTTTATTCAGCAGAGAAAACTGTTGAATCAGCTTCAGCATTTAATTTAGTATGTTATAAAGATATACATCTGTGATCCTCAATGAATATTTATATTATACATATATAATCTGTATAACTATCGTAACATGTTATACATACATATATATATAAAATATGTTATTCTATATATATATGTATAACTATACATACATTGTGTATATATATATGTATATATATGTATAACTAGAGTACTTAAAATATTTTAATATGTTCTTATATAATATAAAAATTACGGCCATATAGTTAGTATCAGGACTGACCATGTATTTACTTTTATTTAAAAAAGAGGTTTTACAATACAAAAACGTATAATATTTTGTATTTGATATT